GAAACAAAACAATTATTTGCCTCAAACTGAAAGCACAAAATGGACTACAAAGACAAAAATAAGTTAGACTGAACTTCAATTAGTACACTGTGTCTGGAACTTCTCTAGTGACACTCCTGTTACTTCCAATACAAAAATACGAAGTAGGTACAAATAATGGGACTCCGATGTCCCTCTGAATTCACCCAATTCATCTAGCTTTCCTTCTTTCCAGAGATACAATCAGCTTAAAGCCATTTACACATAAACATTTGAATTGTAAATTAAGCTAAATAAGACCTTTTGCATCAGAAACAAGCTTTCATAACAAAATTATGAACAAATGGATCAGTTCCAGCAATATTCCTTTTGATTGATGTGAGGAACCTAATTATTCAGTTACTCTACATTTCAGCAGGCAGACTACTCCTCCCTCCTCGCTCACCTTTTCCAAAAGCAACTTTAACACTGAAGTTTAGGGTGTACAACTTTCCAGAACAAATGGTAAGGAAACCAAATGTTTTGCTCTGGGCTCCTTGAATACCCTTGCACTCCAAGGGACCAGCCAGATGTACTCAGTGCTTCTAATGTCTCAGCACTGCTGATTTGGTTTCAGAAGCTGGTCACCTTGGTTCCCTAAAGAAATCACCTGCTTGTTCCCTGGCAAAGCACAGACTTTCTATTCCAGCTTTTTATACCCAAGTTAGTTCTCATCATCAGTCACTTGGCTTGCTTAGTGCCTACCTCAGGCAACTATACCTCTATCTCTTCCAGTCAGAGAAGAGAGAACAAACAAAAACACTTCAAAGAAAATCAGAATATAAAAGTCTTCACTTCTTCTCAACTATTTTTATCCTTCTCATTCTTTCAGAGGATGAACTCTTCAGAATTTCTGAGACCTTCGTGCCTACTCAGGTTCTCAAGAAGATACACTTTCCTCTACATCTCATTGATCAGCTTATAACCTCTCTGCCCCTCTCCCTCCAGGCCCAGTCATAAGAGAATACCTCCTTTCACCTGAGCTCTTTTAGAGAAATTAATCAACTTCCCAGCTGGACAAGTGACCAAGGCCACCTGATCCTCAGCTAATCAGGAGCAGCTGCAGGAGGGGATGAAGAGGAAAGCAACAGCGAGCTCAGAGAAAGATCCAGTGGTATCCTTAAGCCCACGAGCCTCTGCCAATGCCCTATTTCATATTGCACACACACAAAACATTAAAAACATAGAATATGCAATTAAAGATACTGTAGTTACTCAATTTTAGAATTTTTTGCAGATAAAATAATAATTTTTTTTATTCCAAACTTTGTGCATATAATTACAATTTCATTTAAATTCTTAATGAAAATAATTAATGGTACTTACAAGAGAAAAAAGTTAGTTTGTGTTATGAAACACCCTTTGTTTATGCTATTTCATTACTAACAGGTATTTTGTAATTTTTATTTTCAAACATCCCCAAATGCACATAACACACCAACATAATAAAAAATCTATGTAGAGATTAAGATTCTATGTGAAACCTTATGATTTCATATTAAATATGGGGGAGATCTATAATATTAAAGAAGCAGCTGATGAGTCAGAGTACTACTCAAAATTCAATAGTACAATTGTATCAAATCTGTTTCATAATACAATAACAATAAGCTAATGTCGTTCAACCCCCAAGACATAGAAATTTTAGCCCCTCTCTTTCAGTACATATTCTAAGTAGACCCAAAGTAACTATTATAATTTGCTTTCAATAAGAGATTTATCCCGGTAATATAATGGAAATTCCAGAATAAATGACCTATATGATAAGACATACTATTGCTAATCGATGTTTTTACAATATAATTTTCTGTATATTGCATCTGTTCACCCTGTATTAAGAAAGGTGGATTCTTTGCTTTGCATTTCTTAAAGGAGTCCATGTGGCTGTTCAGGAGATGAATATTTTTCATAGTACTACAGTTTTTTCATATTGTCCCCTGCTAGTGAAACTTAAGACAAGTACTTTTAAAATGAAGTCTTCCACTCTTCCCCACTGAATATGAAGCACTATGTCACTGTGCATAAGCCAAAAGAATAGATGTCATGGTTGTTATCTAGAGCAACTCAGGAACAGGCTGAACTTTCTCATACTGTGCTGCAGAAGCATTTGACCAATTGCACTATACAAACTGCTTTTGCAGTTATACAGTAAGTTGGGCCATGAGGTGCACTAGAAGTTGTGAAGGATAACTCTTTCCTAACACTATATTAAAATACACACCTAGAGCATTAACAGAGGCTTCTTGGCTTTTGTGAATCCACTGGATATTTCTCCCAGCTTTCTTTTTTGCTTGCTCTCTCACCCTGCAGCTCCTCCTGATTAGCTAGAGATCAGGTGGTCATCTACCAGATCCAGCTGAAAGCAGTTGGCTAATTTCTATAAGAGAGCTCAGGTAAAAAGAGACCCTTTCTCTCCTTGGAAGGAGAGAAATAAAGAGCTTAGAAGAGAAGTATTAAAAAAAAAAAAGTAGTACAACTTTTGAATAATCAGTAGGCCTGAAGGGTTCCCTTTGCACAGAAAATTGCCACGTATGAGTCTCCTCAGCATTACAAATTATCATTAAGCACATTAAAACTCTTTTCTGTCACTGATTTGCTTTCCTAGATGACTGATGGAAATTGCCATCGCTGCACACTGGTTTGGAGCTGGCCTATCCGAAAGTTTACCTAAGACGCCAGGGTGACAAGGGAAAACTTCACAATGCAAGAAGAGTAAAATTCTCATGAAAAAGAGCATGAAGGAGTTTAATGTCCCGTTACTGGCTACGGAAGGCTACTTTAACCGATCGATAGACAGATATAAGCCCTCCTCTACTGTTTGTTCTGCCTGAAGGCAAAATAGCAATTCAGAAAGTGCATCAGGGCTATGAAGTATTGTAGGGAACAGAGGAATGAAAATGCCCGACGGTGAATTTTTGACCTCTTTGGATTTAAAGGGGGGTTCACCAAAATGTGATGGATAAAACCAACTCTCTCTGAGGCTGGTTTACAATTGCAGCGTAAATAAAGCTAGAAACAAAGGACAATCAGAAATTTTATTTCAGTTACTTGGATTTTGATTTTTCAAGGAGAGGGAAAGGGGGGGGAAGAACCCAAAAGCATGAGAACGACACATACATTCAACCTGGGCCCCAAAATCCCATTAGAATGCTCCATTGTGTGGGAACCTGACCAGCACCATTTAATTCATACAGTGCTGTCTAACCCTTGTGATTACAGAGTTGTTACACTGATTTTTAACTCAGTACTCAATGTAAGTGTAAGCAACATTTTGAAAATATGCTAGGTTTTTTTTTCTTAAAACACTGTGATGGTTTTAGAGTTGACATTTCTACATTGCTTAGTATTATGTTATTGTAAGGGTTTTAATACACCATCTCAAAATGCTTCTCCATAGATATTCAGATAAAAAAGTGGTAAGTAAGATATTATAGCCATCCAGATAAAGTACTGGCTTGGCCAAATATCAGATGCTCTGTAAGGATTTTTTAGCCCCACTCAAGGATGTTACTGTCTCCTAGGAAACAATACACTCTATACCTAGCCCTAAAGGTTTTAAGTTTTATGCCTGACAGCTTGCGATAACTGATAGTTCAAGGACACCTCAGTTAAAGCATCTTCTGCTTATATTAAATACAGATACAGCAGAAGGAGAATAAACTCTCTTGTTCAGCAGATGGCACGAAGGGAAGAGGATTAGGGTGAGACAAGAAAATAAAAAAAACATTCTGTATATTCAGTACAAATGTGTAATAGCAGAATAATGGCTCTGGATCAGACGTGTTGGTACAGTTGCCAGGTGTAATAATTATAAAGAGAACAGGAGTATTGTTGGCAAAATTTATCAGCTGTAAACCAATTTGAACATGCAACAGAAGAGGAGTTCTGCACTACTTCTGCATGCAATGGATAGGGGACATTGCTTAAAATTATAAACAACAAAACACATTGCAACAGGTTCTGGTTTCAGGGTCTTTTGGGTTTTCTTTTGGGGGTTTGTTTTTATAATTCAGATGAACGTTTTTTATAATTCATTAGGCACGGTAAAAAAGATTGGTTTTGCCATATAAGTTAAAGGAAGTCAAGCAATTGCTTGACATCTTAACACAGGAAACTAAGTGGATAAAGAACATAAGCCACTCAGTGTCTGTGGGGAAGAACCGTGTACAAATCTGACTTACTTACTGTTTATACTCACTGCTGTTAGTTTATTCAGGCAAGACTTCACAGTCACACCAAGTCAAGACTGTAATTCACAAAAATATGTAAGCATACCCTTTAATTCAAGCATTCAAGCATCTTTTAATCCAATAAGATTTGTAATAGGGAATAAGAATTCTCCATGTGCTAAATGCTTTACTAAATAAAAGGAGTTTATTTTAATACATGAACTAACAAATAAGTAAGTCTTCTTACTTACAGTGCATCTCATTATTTTGGATGAGATAATTCTGCCTTTTTTTTTTTAAAGTATATTAGAAATTTTGTCTATTACCCCTAAATACTCTATCCAGAATCTAGTACAACATTGTCTGTGCACATCACACGTAAACTCAGAGCTCATCATCTCTCATGAAAGTTCTCACAGGGAGAACAGATATCTGATCTTATCCTAGAGCAACATTTCAATACAGCACTGAAGTCCTATGGGGGGAGAATGACTGTATTTCATAGCAAGGGTAGACAGAGGAACACAAATTCAAAATTAATGCCGTCACACATCAGCTTCAAAAAAAAAAGTGTAAGAAGTAAAAGGGGAAAAAAAGATCATCAGCTGAATAAAAACATTGAG